GACCTGACCTCGCATACCCTCTTAGCATTCTCGCACGCTATGTTGCTCCTGGGAGACACAGACCGGAGCACATGGCTGCAACGAAGAGGGTGTTGCGTTACTCGTGCAGTACGTCGGGCATGGGGCTTGTGCTTGGAGGGCAGAGTCCAGTGGTCCTCACTGGGCACGCAGACGCTTCTTGGGCTGACGACCAGGCTACGCAGCGGTCGTCACAGGATTACACCTTCAGCCTTGGTTCCGGCTCTGTTTCGTGGCGGGCTACCCGCTCGTCTTCTGTTCTCGGCTCCAGTTGTGAGGCTGAGATCTACGCCGGGGCCATGGCTGCACAGGAGCTTCGCTGGCTCACCTACCTGCTGACTGACCTCGGAGAGCCGCCTCGTTCTCCTCCAGTGCTGTACGTAGACAACAAGGCCATGCTGGCCTTGTGTCGAGAGCAGAGACTGGAGCACAGAACGAAGCACATTGCTCTCCGCTACTTCCTTGCTCGTGAGCTACAGCAGCGTGGTCAGCTGCGGCTTGCGTACGTGGCCTCTGAGGCCAACACTGCTGATATCTTCACCAAGGCACTTGCGCCTTGTGATCATCAGCGCTTCTGTACTCAGCTGGGTCTTGTGCCTATCTTGCCTCACTTGCTCACCCCTTGACCTTGTTTGTACTGTTGCATATATATATACACCTGCTCTTGCTTGTCTAGCCTTATATATATATGTAATCCTGCATGTGAACTGGCCTTGTGGCCTTGAACTTGTGCTCGGAATGTGTGGTGACTTTGTGATCCACCCTGAGCTTGCTTTGCTTTGCTTGACTGGTCTTGTGACCCCTTGTTCTCCCCCACTTTGCCTATGGGGGTGTGTCAGATTTATATGACATAGCTACTGTAGGCTATAGTGGGGTAGCACATATGGGGTACAGTTTTCTAGGGTTTGCTTTTGTACCCAACTTTCCCTTAGTCAATTCATTCCTCATTTCTTCACAGAAACAACACGAACACACACGAACACATATGAACTCTCACATACTCAAACCTTCACAGAAACGCACATAACTCATGAACCGTCGAGGCGATTCACGAACAGTAAACACCCAAACGTAAAGCACAGAAAAGCGCAGCTCGCACAAAACAAATTACCTTCAAACCATAAAACTGCATTTACCTTCACCGCAGGTGAATAGGCGGTAGGTTGTCGTGCAAACCATGTATTGCACCCAACACAAATCCATGTACGAAGCAAGGCACATGGCTATTTAGAAACATAGCCACAAAGATAAGCAGATTAAAGGAGCACATAGAACACATGCTATTTCCCTACCTAAAAGGACAACCACCAAAAGCCCGAGGAGAAGATCTATGCTGAGAGCCTCCTACAGGAGCTGATATGGGTTCCCAAGTAGCCATGAATAGCAAAGTTCGGGATGGATGGAGGGCAGTCGCTCCCGTCAAAAAGGAGGAAGCATTTTTTTTTGTCCCATTTTTGTATACGAGGGGGCTTGACATTGCTTCTTAGTGGGTTACGATGGCTTGTCCACATAAATAATTTGAAGGCGATAAAAACGTGGGCCAACATGAGCTCAAGGATCTCGAAGTGCAAGGATGGTGAGTTGTTGAACTTGTGTTCACAGCGGGCCGCCCACATGGCCCTAGCCGCTGATCCTACTTGAAGGCTCCATTGGGAGACTGTCCCAAACATGACTGTATAGGGAAGAGGATGAGTTCAGCAGAGGTGAAGTGTTCGAGATGGCGGTCGGCGACAAAGTGCGAGTAGAGATGGCATCAACAGTGACGCCTCACTCAAATAAGACGTGCAACAGTGTCTTAGTTACAGAAGCACGTTAGAGGGGACAAATCCCCTATTGCCGTGAGCTGGAAGTGTGAATCAGAATGGAGAGTGCGAGTGCGGAGCCGGAACAAGATGTCCCGCTGGTGGCTGGCTGATCTCTAAGAAAGGCATGCGTTGGATCGGGGTAGAAGGAGGAGGGGATGAGAGGTCATGGGTATAACGAAGCTAATGATCGACCAGTTGCGTTGAATAGAGGAGGCTGTTAGTGCCACCCAATGGTTTGCACTCAACTTGTTGTCCTTGTGCATGTGTGTATTTTTGCATCGAATGGTAGGAGAGCATGAGATAACATCTATTGCATGCTTATATGAGTATGTTAATGATGAGTCATGACTTCGAATATGTATGTCAAGTAAAAAGCGAGTTTTCACTCATTGCATGTCACGTCGTCGTTTGCATGTCTTTTCCGTTTACTGTTTTGTCTTATCTCAAACATTTGGCACGTCGCTGGTGTGTGCAGCAAGCTTCCAACAACTCAAGGAAGACTTTATATTGAAGAACCTGAGCCTTGCTCTCAAAATTCAAGTGATTTTGATAGTTTGATTGCATTGTGAGGTATAACAGTTCTTTTGGTGAGTATGGTGAGCAGTTTAGAGACCCATCAGGGTTGGGGACTATGTGACACTGTTCCACCTCTCTGAACCTTAGCTCTTGGGGTTTGTAGAGGCTGGGATTCAGTCCAACTCGACCTTCTTTTGTTTCTTGTCCTACGACCATAGTTGTTGCTGAATCTCTGTTCGCTCAAATCACTCTCACATCGTTAGTTCTTTATCAAATCGAGTGATTCAAATTGCTGATTATGTGCAACGTTGCTCCAAATCCAATTCATAGCACATCATTTGGTGTTGTGATCAGGCCGTTATCAACGTTTGAATCCGCTCTGCATGAATCTGTTCTTGCACTCTATCTTTTGTTTAAGTCACATTTGAGCCTAAAATGTCTATCCCAAGTGGTATCAGAGCGCCTTTGGAGCATTTTCAACAATGGTTGAACCTAGAAAGGGGTGGAAGAGGTGCTGGGAGAATTGGAGAAGCCCAAGCTTAAAGCCAACCCCGTGACCTCCCCATGGCTCCTGTGCAGCCAACTCTTCGGCCTTCTTAGGATGAACCAAGGGTGTTTGGGCTTGACAAGTCTGGGGCGACAATTTTGCTAAGTGGTAATTTAAAGTGGAAAATACATTTGACCATTATAACATTCTGGAGGTAATTAAAAGGAACGGAGAAGCGACCCAAAAACAACATGTAGAACAGCCCGTGGTTGCGAATGTGAGGATCTAGGATGGAGCTCAGAAAAGAGAGTTGTAATTTAATGATCCACCTGGGTACAACACGAGGCTATATATAGTCTCGACACAAGGCCAGTTACCCAGGGGTTACGCGAATGTTCTGAGGGTCGCGAAGCGCCCCAAACAGAACCTTCCCGAACCCAGTAGAATGTAATTCGGTGGAAACCGGATAGGCTTGAGTCCGGTACACGTAACCTGGTTCGGTGCTATAACTAAATAAAATATAGGAATGCACCTAACCTAGGAAATCAAGCATATCTATGCATGATAAAATAAACCCAAGCTAGATGTAGCATAATAAAGTCTAGGCAGGCTAGCAAAGCCAGCATAAGCCGTCGTACTCTCACACGTCCCCCCCTCAAAGCCGGGTAGCGTGAGATACAACCTGCTTGACAAGATAGTCCTTGAGAGCACGGCGTGCGTTGCCCATATCAGCTTTTGCAACCCAACTGTCCTCACTCGGGGGGTGATATGCTGAAGACATCACAAGTTTAGTTCCCAGCAGTCCCATGAGCTCCTTCCAGGACTTACTCGTGAATTTTGGGTCTCGGTCTGAGATAAGTGTAGCGGGAATGCCGTGGATGGTGATGATGCGGTCGAAGAGGAGGCGAGCAGTTGCTTCAGTTGTAGCCGTGGCGTTGGTCAGAATGAAGTGACCCATTTTGGAGAACTTGTCGATCACAACGAGTATAGCGTCATGCCCTCGTGAGGTTGAAGGAAGTCCCATGATGAAGTCGAGGCTAACGACTTGCCATGGCTGCTCCGGTACGGGTAGAGGCTGAAGTAACCGTGCTTTTTCTACTTGCTGCTCTTCATCCGCTGGCACGTGTCGCATGAGGTGACGAATACTGCCATCCCGAGCCAGTAGTAATACTTCGCTATCCCTGCTAACGTCTTGTTGCTCCCGAAATGTCCTGCATATGGTACGTCGTGAAACTCCTCCAGTAAATGTCAAACATCATACATGTTTATATTGTGTAGGCTATAGTGGGTTTAGCCTTAGAGAGTACAACATTGCTAGGGTTTCCTATTTGTATCACCCTGCTGCCTAGTTCATTCCATTCTCGTTCACTTCTAGTTTCTAACATGGTATCCGACGCCTAGGTCAGGACCTAGGACCGACATTGGTTAGGGCCCACCGTTCCGCCGCGCCCTTGCGCGACCCTGTCTGATAGTGCCTCGCGCCGTCGTGTGCCCCTACCCGCGCCGTCGAGCGCCCTTACTAGCGCCGTCGAGCGCCCCTTCTAGCGCCGTCGTGCGCCCTAGGACAGTCGCGCACACCGCCCGTCCACCGCACGCGCAGCCGCTCGCTAAGCTGCACGCGCAGCCGCACGTCAGGCCGCACGCGCAGCCGCACGCACGACCGCACGAGCAGCCACACGCGCAGCCGCACGCGCAGCCGCCCGCGCAGCCGCACGCGCAGCCGCCCACTAAGCCGCCCGCACGGCCGCACGCTAGGCTGCACGCACGACCGCACGCGCACCCGCACGCGCAGCCGCACGCGCAGCAGCCCGCCCAGCCGTGCGCACAGCCGCCTCACGCAGCCGCACGTGCAGCCGCAGCTGCAGCCGCCCCGCGCAGCCACAACAGCAGCTGCTGCCTCTCAGCAGCAGCCCGCGCGCAGGCCGCTGCAGCCGCACGCGCAGCCTGCTGCTCCCGCGCAGCACCACACCCGCGCACAGGCAAGCCGCCGCGCCGCCCTACCCGAGCCGAGCCGCACCGCGCCGCCCTTCCCGAGCCGCGCCGCGCCGCCCTGCCCGAGCCGCGCCGCGCCGCGCCGCCCTGCCCGAGCCGCGCTGTGCTGTTTCACTGCTGCTGCTGCTACTGCTGTTGCTGCTGATACTACTACTGCTGTTCCTACTGCTCCTACTGAACCTATGGCTAGTCCTGCAGTTCTAGCTTTCGATGCTGAGGACCGCCCGCTGCGTTTTGACACCTGGCTCGAGGACCTCCATCTGTTCCTCCAGCTCACTGCTAAGGAGGATATTTCGCTATATGATCATGCGTTAGGACTCGCTCCTGCTCCTGCTGCGACTGCTGACAGTACTGCCCGCTCACAGAGGCAGACTCGTGACGCCCACTCTCGCTTCGCCATTCGCAACTCCCTGCCGGTAGATGAGCGCGAGCACTTTGGCCAGCACAAGACTGCTCAGGCACTGTACACTGCTGTAGTTGCGCGCTACTCCTCGCCTGCCTCTACTGCGCTAGGCCGCCTCTCACTGCCCTATATGTTCCCATACCTGTCCGCCTTCTCCACAGTCGCTGACCTCATTACTCACCTCCGCACTAGTGAGACCCGCTTCCGTGCTGCCATGCCCGCTGAGTTTCTTGCCAAGAACCCCCCCCCGCTGTGGCTCACTCTTTACCACCTGGTCACCCGTCTCCCTGACTCCCTTCGTGCGGTCAGGGACCACTTCCTTGCTCTCTGCCCCACCGAGCTCACCATTGACCTGCTTGAGAAGCACCTGCTGGCAGCTGAGACTAGCATAGTCGCTGTCGGTGCGTCTCGCGGCGACCCCCGCACCCCTTTCTTTGAGGGGTGTTCCCCCTCCCCTCTTCTCCCCTCTGTCGCCTCTGCTGCTACTGTCGACCTTCTTGGTGCTGAGAAGGTCGGGACTGCGTCCACTGCGAGTGGGGCGCACCGCAGCGGCAAGGGCAAAGGGGGCAAGGGGGGCGGCGGTGACGACGGGGGAGGCGGTGGTGGGGGCGGTGGCGGCGGTTGGGGTGGTGGCGGGGCTGGAGGGGCCAGTGGCAGCGGCGGGGGTGGTGGCGGCAGCGGCGGGGGTGGTGGCGGCAGCGGTGGAGGAGGTGGCCGGGGTGGGGGCGGTGGTGGTGGCGGCAGTGGACGCGGTGGTGGTGGTGGCGGTGGTGGTCGAGGTGGCGGCGGCGGCGGTGGAGGTCGTGGAGGTTCTGGCGGTGGCCAGCGCCAGCAGCAGACCCCGTCGCCCCAGGAGCTTCGTGAGTGGTACTCTCAGCGTGGGGGGGGTGGCCTTAGCTGCCCGTACGTCATCCGCACAGGTGACCGCACTGGTCAGACGTGTGGGAGGGCGCACACGCAGAAGCGCTGCTTCTCCCGCCTCGACGACGCCTGGCGCACTCAGTTTCCTACTGCCACTGAGCTGCCCCGCTGGTTTGATCTGATCAAGAAAAACATTGATGTCTATGCTCTTCACTTTGATGCTATTCTTGGTGCCATGTATGTGTTGTCTGGTAGTGGAGAGGGTGACTGTTACCTGCGTGTCCCGCCCGACCCGGGCATTAGGACCAGTGAGGCTGCCGCACTAGGTGCTAGTGTGTCTGCTGCCCCAGGTGCTGGTGAGGCTGCCGCTCTAGGTGCTAGTGTGTCTGTTGCCCCAGGTGCTGGTGAGGCTGCTGCTCTAGGTGCTCGTGAGTCTGCGCCCTCTGGTACTGCGTCTACTGAGGCACTGCACACCTTCACACTGGACTCAAGTGCTTCCCGCTGTTTCTTTCGTGACCGCACTGCCCTTGAGCAGCTTGCTCGGCCGGTTGCAGTCTCCCTCGCTGACCCCTCTTGGGGTCCGGTCATTGCGACCTCCTCCACTGTCCTCCCTTGTCCTGCGGTCCCGTCGGGCACACTGTCAGGCCTCTACCTCCCCTCGTTCTCTACGAACTTGGTGGCGGGTCGTGCGCTCCAGGACGGGGGTGTCCACCAGTTCACCCCTGCCTACGAGCGCGTGACACACTGCACGTGTGCTCGGACGGGTCGCCACCTGGCTACCTTCACTCGGCAGCCAGGGTCGGACCTGTACACACTGACCACTGAGTCCCCTCAGGTAGCTGCGTCTGCGTCTGCGTCAGGTCAGCTGTCGGCCCCCTGCTCGTGTCGCTCCCTGTCACACGAGACCGTCCTCTGGCACCACCGCCTTGGTCACCCGTCAGTGCAGCGCCTTCGTGGCATGCACTCCCGGTACCTTGTCTCTGGTCTTCCCAGGGTTCTCCCTCCCCTCCCACCCTCGCCTGCTCCTCCCTGTCTTCCCTGTGGCGAGGGGCGCCGCTCCTCACTCCTCCTCGTTTCCCCCGACGACTGCTCCCCTGCAGACCCTCCACATGGACGTGTGGGGCCCAGCCCGCGTCCGTGGACAGGGTCACGAGAGGTACTTCTTGATAGTTGTTGACGACTACTCGCGCTACACCACGGTCTTCCCCTTGCGCACCAAGGGTGAAGTCCCTGATGTTTTGATCCCTTGGATCCGCGCTGCCCGTCTCCAGCTCAGCGAGAGGTTCCACTCGGACTTTCCTGTCCTGCGTCTGCACTCTGACAGAGGTGGGGAGTTTTCCTCCGACCTCTTGAGGGACTTTTGTCGTGGGGAGGGCATTGAGCAGACGTTCACGCTTCCGGCCTCTCCACAGCAGAATGGGGTTGCTGAGCGCCGCATTGGCTTGGTCATGGAGGTCGCTCGTACCTCCTTGATCCATGCGGCTGCCCCCCACTTTCTGTGGCCGTTTGCGGTCCGATACGCTGCGCATCAGCTCAACCTCTGGCCCCGTGTCTCCGTTCCGGAGACTTCGCCGACACTGCGTTGGACGGGAGAGGTTGTCGATGCGTCGGTGTTCCGGGTCTGGGGATCTCGTGCTTTTGTCCGTGATACGTCCGCAGACAAGCTCTCCTCCCGCGCTGTTCCTTGTGTCTTCCTTGGCTTTGTCCCGGACGCGTCTGGTTGGCAGTTTTACCACGCCACCTCGCGCCGTGTCCTGCCCTCTCAGGACGTCACTTTCGACGAGTCGGTCCCCTACTACCGCCTCTTCCCCTACCGCACTGCCCCGCTCCCCCCCCCGCCTCTCTTCCTCGCACCAGGTGCTGCTGTGGTAGACCCCCTCCCCCCTGAGGGTGCCGCTCCCTCAGGTGTGTCCCAGGTAGACCCGGTTGAGCCTGTCGAGGTAGCTGTCGACTCTCGTCCTGCTAGGGGTGCTGAGCCTGAGCGTGCGGAGCCTGGGGGTGCGGAGCCTGGGGGTGCTGAGCCTGAGCGTGCGGAGCCTGGGGGTGCTGAGCCTGCGGGTACGGAGCCTGGGGGTGCGGAGCCTGGGGGTGCTGAGCCTGAGGGTGCTGAGTCTGGGGGTGCTGAGCCTGAGAGTGCTACGTCTCAGGGTACTGAGCCTGGGGGTGCTGCTGTCAGAGGTCCACTGGTGATCCCCGATTGATCCTAGGGAAGGGTTACAGGCTCGTTGTCCTGGGGGGTTATGGGCGCACTGACCCGCTAGTTAACAAGCCCTTTTATCCCAATGGTCTAGTGGTTGGGATTCTGACATGCTATCAGAGCGAAGGTCTCGGGTTCGAATCCCAGTGTGTGCACTTCGGGCATCCCAGTGCGGGGGGGTGTCAGAGGTCCACTGGTGATCCCCGATTGATCCTAGGGAAGGGTTACAGGCTCGTTGTCCTGGGGGGTTATGGGCGCACTGACCCGCTAGTTAACAAGCCCTTTTATCCCAATGGTCTAGTGGTTGGGATTCTGACAGCTGCGACTGACCGTGCGGCGCCTGGAGGCGCTCCCTCTTCACAACAGCTGCATGAGTGGTACTCGCGGTACTGCAGCCTCAGGAGGGGCGCTTCTGGGGCTAGGGGTGCTGCTGGAGCTGGTGCTCGTGGTTCCCCGCCTAGGCGGGAGCCGCCCTCTCCCCAACGGCTCCGAGAGTGGTACGCTCGGCGCTGCAGTCTCCGGAGTGGCGCTGCTGGTGCTTTGGACCCTGGAGCTGGAGCTGCTGCTGGTGCCGCGGACCCTGGAGTTGGAGCTGCTGCTGGTGCTGAGGACCCTGGAGTTGGAGCTGCTGCTGGTGCTGAGGACCCTGGAGCTGGAGCCGCTGCTGGTGCTGCGGACCCTGGAGCTGGTGCTGCTGGTGCAGGAGCTGCTGGTGGTGCTGCTGGAGGTGCTGCTGGTGCTGGAGCTGCTGGAGGTGCTGCTGGTGCTGGAGTAGCTGGAGGTTCTGCTGGTGCTGCTGGAGGTGCTGCTGGTGCTGGAGCTGCTGGAGGTGCTGCTGGTGCTGGCGCTGCTGGAGGTGCTGCTGGTGCTGGAGCTACTGGAGTTACTGCTGGTGCTGGAGCTGCTGGAGCCGCTGGTTCTGGAGGTGCTCGTATTGGAGGTGCTGGAGCTGCTGGGACTGGAGCTGCTGCGGGGGTTGGAGCTGGAGGTACTGGAGCTGCTGGGGTTGCTGGTGGTGCTGCGGGAGTTGTAGCTGGAGACCCTGGGGCTGAGGGTGCTGGTGCTGTCTCTGCTGGTTCAGGAGGTGCTGCGCGGCCGCGGCCGTACTACGTTCCGCTCCTTCAGCAGGTTCTTGACCTCCCGCCCTCTACTGGTCCTACTCCTCCCCTACTGAGTCCACCACCTGTCCAGCCGCAGTCACTGTTACCGCTTGCCTCTCCGCTGCCTGGTCCTTCTCCTTACGCTGGGCTGACTAGAGGTCTTACGGAGCGTCGTGAGCCTGAGTCTCGTCCTGCGTCGCCTGAGTCTCGTCCTGCGTCGCCTGAGTCTCGTCCAGAGTCGTCTGTCCGCGCTGTCCGCGCTGGTCGTCGTGCTCCGCGTCAGCGTCCTCCTCCTGTACTTGGCACTCACTATATGACTCTGCGTCCTTCCACTGCTCCACAGCGTGTCCCTCTGCCGTCTCCTCCTGCGTCCTCTCTTCCTGACGGTCCGGACCCGGAGTCTGACTCCCTTCGTGCTGCCAGTCCTACTGTCACGCGTTTCCTCGCCACTGTTGTCACTGACCCTACCTTTAAGTCCTCTGCTGCGTCTGCTCTAGTCGCTGAGCTTGTTGACTTTGCTGCAGCATGTCGTCTAGACTACGCCGCTAGCCTTGTTCCCATCCGATCCCATCCCATCCCATCCCATCCCATCCCATCCCATCCCATCCCATCCCATCCCATCCCATCCCATCCCATCCCATCCCATCCCATCCCATCCCATCCCATCCCATCCCATCCCATCCCATCCCATCCCATCCATCCTATCCCATCCATCCCATCCCATCCCATCCCATCCATCCCATCCCATCTTATCTCATCCCATCCCATCCCATCCCATGCCATCCCATCCGACCCATCCCATCCCATCCCATCCCATCCCATCCCATCCCATCCCATCCCATCCCATCTCATGCCATGCCATCCCATCCCATCCCATGCCATCCCATCCATCCCATCCCATCCCATCCCATCCCATCCCATCCCATCCCATCCCATCCCATGCCATCCCATCCCATCCCATCCCATGCCATCCCATCCCTCCCATCCCTCCCATCCTATCCATCCCATCCCATCTATCCCATCCCATCCCATCCATCCCATCCCATCCCATCCCATCCCATCCCATCCCATCCCATCCCATCCCATCCCCTCCCCTCCCCTCCCATCCCATCCCATCCCATCCCATCCCATCCCATCCCATCCCATCCATGCATGTGGGCAGAAATACAACAGCCTCCTTCCCCTGTTCTCCTGTTCTCGTGTTCTTCCATTCCATCTCTTCCCCTGTTCGTCTCCTCGTCACCACTTTCCCTCTTCCCCTCCTCTTCTCTGCTTTCCTCCATGTCTATTCATCCACCCATCTTCAGGAAACTCAACGACAACCGTCTTGCGGGGACGATACCTACTGCAATCACCATACTCACTAATCTCTCATACCTGTCAGTGTTACCTCCTCTGTCGTCACCAACACTCATGCACTATTTGTCAATAATCTAAAATGTGGTTGAGTAATCTGGAGAGCATGGTTGTGTTGCCTGCTGAGTCCACTCAAAATACATTTCTGCTGGGTCACCTTTGGTTTGAATTCCGCTGAAACATACATTTCTAGCCACCTCATGCAATTACTCCAAACAACTGTCAGTGCTACCCATCTCTTCTCTGTGAAACGCCACCCCTACTGCTCACTTTCTGCCACACACACATCTCTTCCTTTCTACCATCGACACATCTCTTCCTTTCTACCATCGACACATCTCTTCCTTTCTACCATCAACACATTTCTTCCTTTCTTCCACCCACACGTCTCTTTCTTATCATCACCTTTTTCTTTACAAGGGGTTTTTTTAGCAAGCCTATGACAAACAGCAACATCTCTTCCTTTCTGCTTGCTGAAGGCCGCAAATTGATGGGTGTCAACTCCATCAACCGTTCTGATTGAATGGCATTCACTCCTTTCTGATTGAATGGCATCCACTCCTTTCTGATTTAATGACATCCACTCCTTTCTGATTGAATGGCATCCACTCCTTTCTGATTTAATGACATCCACTCCTTTCTGATTGAATGGCATCCACTCCTTTCTGATTTAATGGCATCCACTCCTTTCTGATTGAATGGCATCCACTCCTTTCTGATTTAATGACATCCACTCCTTTCTGATTGAATGTCATCCACCCCTTTCTGATTGAATGTCATCCACTCCTTTCTGATTGAATGTCATTCACTCCAAAGAAATGATGGGAGGAATCACACAGCAGTAACACACTCAGCTGATCCCACACAGCACTAACACACTCAGTTGCTAACACACTCAGCTGATCCCACACAGCGCTGAAATTGGATTCAGCTGATCCCACACAGCGCTGAAATTGGATTCAGCTGATCCCACACAGCACTGAAATTGGATTTGCTGACTCAACACGCACAGCTGATGATGTCAAACAGCATGCCCCGGAAGAGGTACTCCATTCAGCGAGATTACTTTTGAGTCGAGTCAAAGGCTGATGCCACACGGCATGCCCCGGAAGAGGTACTCCATTCAGCGAGATTACTTTTGAGTCGAGTCAAAGGCTGATGCCACACGGCATGCCCCGGAAGAGGTACCCCAATCAACACGCACATGCTACTCCTGTCAAGACGCACAAGCAGACTCCTCCTTCCCACCCACCGCTTCCCGTCCCGCCTTCTTTTGCACCACAGGCAAGAGGAGAGCTGCCCTCCTTCCGCCACATGGCCCTCCTCACATGGAGTTTTGAGACATCTCAAAGCTCGCCTTGACAACGACCAGCTTACGGGAGAGCTGCCCTCCTTCCGCCACGTCACCCAACTCACATCGCTAGACAGGCTGTCTGCTGCTTACAACTACCTCACAGCCACAGCCACAACTACTCTCTCCCTCCCACCTTCCCCTGGCACCACAGGCACCTTGACAACAACCAGCTCACGGGAGAGCTGCCCTCCTTCCACCACATCACCCAACTCACATCGCTAGACAGACTGTCTGTTGCCTACAACTACCTCACAGCCACAGCAGACGCCTTCCCGTTCAACACCACCAGCCCAGACCCAGACGACCCCTCAGGAGGCCACAGCTCGTGCGTATTCACCCACAACTGCCTTGAGTGGGTCTACTGCGGCCATGGGCTGAACCAGAGGCGTGACAGTGAGTGCCGGGCGTTCTGTGGGGTGCAAGTGCAGCCGCTCAAAGAGCAGAGGCTCACCCCCCCGTGCAGCGGGCATGGCATGTGCTCCTTTGTGCCGGACCCGTCTCACACCATGTATCCTTGTGATGAAGACGAGGAGTTCTGGCCACCCTACTGTGAACCTGTGGGGCAGTGCACCTGTGATGACGGGTACACGCCAGGGACTGCTGCTGGCACGTGCGTCTCTCACGATACCCTGCTGGTGCCTCAAGGTATGCTTGCAGATTAATGCCCTCGCTAGGTGATGGTTATCTCTTGTTCCTTTTTTGGCCCTTAGTTCGTCCTTGCTGCATCTTGTTTTTCAATCCCTTCTTGCCAACATGCCCCACGTGCCTCTGGCTTCCACCGGCCTGTGGAAGGGACTCAGTAGGCCATGGGAGAGTGGCCATGGGAGAGTGGCCGAGCGACGCCTCCTAGCCAGTTCAGCCCGTGGGCTCGCACTGGGTAGTGTGACTCGTGCTGGGTAGTGTGGCTCGTGCT